TCAAATTTTACTCTCCCTTTTCTCCCCTCTCTCTCTTACTAAATATAAATTTAGGACTCAAATTATCGCTGAATCTATAACTTAAAACCCAAATTACAGATTAACCCATAAAAAATTATTTTGATTGTTGATGTTGATTAATTTTATATTCAATCTTTAAAATATTTTTAATTCCCTTTTGCTTTTAATTGTTAAAATCACCAAATCGATCATTGAAAAACGTTTGGATCATGCTTGGCAATCACATTATATCAATAATTCGTTTTTAATGCTGCGGATTAATTAAGTTTATAATTGTTTATTCAAAGCGTATACTGTTTTAGCTATCAATTTTATAAAATATAATGATTATAATTCCATCTGTTATTAGCAATTCTTTTGGGGTGAATGTTATCAGCAACTTAATAACATCACTTGATATTAAAGTTCTTATATATAGAAATAAGATTAAAAAAATTACATATTACAAATTACAAATATTTTAAGAAATGCGTATCAAATTTAAAGTTATAATGTGAATTTTATGCGAAATCTGAAATAATATTTTACTAACCTCCCAAATCCAAAGGATCAAATCTAATTTGAACGTTTTATTTCCAATTTTACAGTAAAAAAAATATAGAAAGAATTACATTTAGGTTCTCCACAAGATAATTAAATATTACAATATCTCTGGATATTCGAGTATAGTAAAACAGCAATTATTTTAGCTGTCACTTTATTAAGTTTTCAATGGACGTCATGATGTTTAATGAAGTTATGAAAAATTTAGATGTAATTTTTTTTTCAAATATATGGTCCAACAATTAGGTTGATTTAAATTGTTATTTCCAAAAATTAACATTATAATATAACTAATTTTAAAATGTGTGTGGATGAGTGTAGAGACACATATCACCCTTATACCTGGCCTATCTTAATAATTTTCAAGTAAATTTCCTAGATATATTTTTTTCCTTTCAATTATTGGGGCGTGTATGTGTAGTAGACACACATAACGGCACTAGACCTATTTTAAGATAAAATTGAAAGAAATTTGAAGAAATTGAGAATGACAGTTAAATTAGAGAGTGTTGAGTTGTAGTTCAATCTCGGACGATTTGAATTTGAGATCCAATTGAAAGAACAAGAAAAATTAACAAAAATATTTTAGGAACGAATATTTTTCTTTTGATATTTAAGGAATAAACTTTAAGAGTTTCCATAATCATTTCATTTCGGTTTCCTGTCGAGTTAACGGCGTTGTTTATTCACACCGACATACATGCTTGAACTATAGGCAGAGGCAGGGGTAATATGGTATGACAAAAAAAAAAAACCAAAAAGTAATAATGGAAAAAAAGAAAAAAATCTAGAGATAGTAGATACATTTGTCTTTTATTAAAAAAAAAAGGAAATTTTTTGACCTATCGATTTTTTATGTAATATCTAATGTGTAATAGAAGTGTGAAACACTGTTGCAGACAATATTAATAAACAATTTGTTGACCTATCAATTTTTATTATTAATATCAGGCAAGTGCATGAATCAAAATTTTAAAATATGGCTCCGAAAATATAAATGAACTGTTAAGTTTATATGCTTATATATAAATTTCCCTTTCCACTTTAAAAATGTTCAGTCATCTGTTTGCATATTTTATGACTTAATTATATTTATATCCTTGAATTAATTTTAATTTTTAATATCATTAATTGAAAAAAAAACCATGTCAAACGGAATCATCTATTATGATTCATGCTCTTATTCATCTAAAAACAAAATATATTAAAAATTGCGCCTCATATATATACATTTCTAGTGGATACGAATAAAAAAGGAAATAAATTTTAAAGGTGATAATTAATAGTTTTTAAATATTTAAAATTCAAGATGATGTTTATAAACAAATCAATATATATAGAGAAATGTTAAAAGAGAATGTTAATTTCAATTTTACCCTTTTTATTATCATTTTATGTTTCCATTTTTTATTACTTATATGTTTAAAACACTTCCTTTTCATTCCATTTTTTTTTTAATTTTAACATGTTCGCAATGTCGTCTTTTAGGTTCATGATTCATCTCTGGAAAACCATCAAATCATTACACATAATTAGTCGAAACTCAAGTTTTGTCAACACACAAAAAAGAACCACATCAAGTTTTTTTTTTTTTTATTTCTTTAAACGAGAGAACCATAAAAAGTTATCAGAATGGATTACCCATACAATACCCCAGTACAAACCACAACTCATGGTAAACATACTATTCAACGGGCGAAAATGGAACAATCAAACAAGAAACAAATAGTTAATGCACAACAAAAAAGAAATTAATAATTGAAGAGGTATGTGTTCTTTTCTTTGTCTTGATCTCTTCTTTTCTCGTTGTTATTATATATATATATATATATATATACATTACAAATTTGACTTGAACATCCTCGTTTGTAAACCTTTTGAAGCCTCTTTTTGAATTCCATGCATCCATCGTATCCACCGATAGCATATGTATATTTTTTTCCTCGTCAAAGGACCAAGTTTCGACCTTGCGGTTAGGACTTTATTATTTATTTAATGGGTTTCTGAGTAATTTGCTCAAATATAGGTATTCAAAGATTTCTACTTTGTTGGCCTATATATGATTAGGTTGAACGTGCCCTTGTCATGTAAAGTTGTATTTTATTTTTTTATTTTCTAAAACACTTTTTACAAACATATTACCAAATAATTTTTTTTTTATTCTGTAGAATAGAAAATAATTCCCAGACATATTGCCAAACAGGCCGTGTGTTTTTTCCCTTCTTTTCGTGGTATTAGTTTTTAAATTGGAGAAGGATATGAAAATGACTTTGATTTTATCAATATTTCTTCAGGACCCTTGTTAGTTATACTATGGCCTTTTTTAAAGGAGATCAAGTTTGGGTTGGGCTCAAAAAGTATTCCATTTATCAAGAACAACTAATACTCACTTTTTTGTATGAAGCAAATAACAGCTAATGCTAATAGTTTGCTTGTAATAATATGCTTACCAATAATAAAATTTTAAATAAATTATACCGACTTGGTCAAATCTTACAAGTAAGCAACCAATGTTACGACTTAAAATAATATTTTTTTAAGATTACCATAAAGCCTTTTTGATTTAGAAAATAAGATGATATATTTTTAAACAAATACATTTATTCAATTATTCATGTAATATTTTGTCGCCTTTTTTGGGAAGATTACATTACATTAATAATATCAATAGGAGCGTCAGTGGGGAAAAAAAATCTACTTGAGACCTCACAATCACATTGTGCAGAAATAAATAAAATTGTCTTCCTATGGATATGTCCAAGAATATATAATTCGAAAGGAAATAACAGGAAGCCATTAAAAAATGAATATAAGAAAAATAGATTATAATTATTAGTCATAATAAAGAGGGGAAGAAACAAATGAATGAAGGCTAGTCCAATTAATAAGTACTTGATTTTTTTTTACAATGGTGTGAATTTAAATCTCATTTTTTAAATACAAGTTTAATATATAAACATTTTTACGTGGTTCAAAACTCAAACTCACTTTTTTTTTTTTGTTTTAAAAGGAGAGAGGTAAAAAGATACGTATAATGCAAGCGATGGCGTGCTAAGTCATGGGACATTTGTCACGTGCGGTAAAAAATTATTTGAAGCCCATTAGTGGATTTGTTTTGGGCCAGATTAGTGGATTAACTACTTTTATTGGTCTGGAAATCATTTTTAAGTCTGGTACACCAAAAAAAGAAAAACATCATTGTTAAGACGTTCTTCATTAGCTTCGGTTTAATTTTTCTTGGGCAACCAACTTTGTTGTAGTTCACTCAAATAATAATATCCGATAAATTCCTTCTAAAGCGTTGTGGCAAGTGGTCAGCCAAACATGCTTTTAAAGATATATTATGTTTGTAAACTGCTGACTAGATTATTTTAGATCAAAGACTTGGCATACCGGAACTCACGCAAAATAAAAATAAAAATAAAAAAAATAATTGGAAATATTATTGTATGGGAACTATATGAGTGTAACGTTTATTATAAAGGCCATATAAATCATAGTTATATTAATTAAAGGACTAAAACTTAATTAAAGAAAGAAAAAGGTATAAAAGGAAACAAGAAAAATGAAAATGATGGATTTTTTCCCAAATGATATATTAGTAATTGTTACCTTTTAGTGACACGAACGATAAATTTTTATGATGTTTCAATGAAATTTTCTCATCAATATTCAATAATAATGTCTACAGCCACCTCAATCAGGACGGCAATTTAAAAATACAAGAAATTAAAGAAAACGGCTCCGTGACTCTACCAACCGTTATGTCTCCTACGCAAAATCTCTGAAATATATATATATATATATATATTAAAAATGAAATTAAATGATATATATGGAGATAAGGTTAAATAATGACAACAGTATACGTACATTATTAAAAAAATTGTATTTGTTTTCCAGCACAAAAATAAAAATAAAAATTGGGGAGAACAACAAAGAGGTACCAAAATGACTAATTAATTTAACTTAGGTCTCAATTGGCAAATTTTATGAATTTGCAAGTTTGGGTCTCAATTTTGTAATTTTATTGTGATGAATTTATAATTCATTTTTAAAATTTTAATATAGTTGAAAAATAAATTTTTTTCTTATTAAAATTTAAAATACAAGTCGCAAATTTATCATAATAAAATTGTAAAATTGATAACCAACCATGTAAATTTATAAAATTTTACACTTAAGACCTAAGTTAAATTATCGGTCATTTTCTCAAAAAAATTGTTGGTTTTCATAGACTCCCTCTAACTCCTGTCTTACGGCGACAGGCAATATAATTAAACGACAAAAAAAAAAAAAAGGAATTAAATTACATTCACGGAAAGGCAAAAAGTCATAAGGTGTAACGAACGAGAGAAATCACTAAAAGCAACATCAAAATTAAGGTGTACTACATGAAAAGAATCCAACAAAATTAGAACAAAAAAAATCCAACAAAATTAGAACAAATCAATATATAAATGAAAATTCAACTATACAATGCCCTTTGAACACTCTTGATTATAGTCATAGTATTGAAAATTGAGTCAATTTAATTGGCTATACTAATAAATCATTCAATGAAATGTTTTGTTTGCGATGAAGTTTAATTATAAAACAGTGTCTTGAATGATTCAATAACCAATTCAAAGTTTTAAATACCTTGACTGTAATCGAGCCATAGTTGCACCAAATGTCTAACATGGAATCTTGGAGATGAACCACTCCATGACCAATATTGGAGCCTTGATAAGAGCGAGAGCGAACTCAATAATGATGGTCACACACAGACAACATGGGCATATACATGATAATATCAACCTGCGAAAAACATTAATCCACAATCTCACTAATGGTGTTTTGAAATATTCCAACGACACTCACTTACTTATATAGGAATCATCGAAAAACCAGAGATACTTACCCAACGATCCAGATAACTACACCAATAAGAGAGAGAAGGAGAGATAAGAAGGCAAAGGGAAGGCCTAGCAGAAACCCTAGAGGCCTGCATCTACAGTCTTCAGAGCAGCACATGATGAAGATGGCTGCTGCTTCTTCTTCTTCTTTCTTCTTCTGTGTCTGTTATATATGGCGGTTTCTTGCTTCTGAGAAGCCAAGGACAATATAAACTTGGACACTGACGGAGAGCACAAGGATTATTATTAATTAAATAAATATATGTGTATGTATATCAGGAATTATTGGTGGGACACGTATGGTTAGCTAGCAGCCTAGTACTGTTCCAACAACGAATCTGGTCAATAAGAAACCAATCACTGGCTCCCACGTTGTCCTCGTCATTTAACATGATTAAGGAACATTTCTCTCTGCTCACGCCACTAATTTCTTGCAGTTATAAACTTTTGATCTTATTAACATTATTATTATTTTAAAGATTTTGGAGGTTGTAATTTTATATTTGGGATAATATAACTTTTAATTCTTTAAGTTTGTTGCAGTCATGAATTTAGTCCCTCAGGTTTAATTTTGTCAATTTAGTCCCTTATTTTTTTTAATTATCATGTTAGTCCTTTAAATTTTTAAACATGAATCCATTCTCAAATAAATTTAATGTGTAAAATATATTGTTAATTTGACAAATGTATGTAGCTAAATAAAAAAAAAATTGACCTTGAAATTAACTTACTTTTTATCAATATAGTCTCTTATAATATGTTTTGTTCTTTTGTTTATTAAAATTTCTGAATTTTTTTCATATCTAGATAGTTAAACTTCTTTTTATTAATTTATATGGTTTTCATCAATACTAATTTATATGGTTGTCATCGGATTTTAACAGTGATACAAAACTTTAGAGATCAAATTAATAAAAATTAAATTTGAGGGACTAAATAATAACTCAATAAACTGAAAAGACTAAAATTTTCATTATCCATTTATATTTTGTAAATTTATTTATTTTTATTTTAATTATTATTGGATCTTTTATACCATTCTCTAATTACAAGTAGACACCGTTAAAAACCTAAAATCATTGGAAAGGTACATTATAAACTTTTAAATTAATACTCGGAGACCTCTCTGGCATTTTGTAGATGAATATATATATATATATATATAATACACACAAAACACGGAAAAAAAATTCAGGTTATCACATAACTTAAAAAAAGATCTTAATTTCTTTTTTAATATTGTTGTAGTATATACAACATATCAACTAACGGGAATATGGAATAAAGAGAGATCCCAATTAATATTTAATGCCATAGTGTTAAGTTTATTCATTGCCAGAGACATATCTACCATATGTTAAGTTGATATATAATAGATAAATTTGGAAGTAAATTTTCTAAAGTTGGGATTTTTGAATTCTGATGAAGCTTTTCTTTTTTTAATTATTTTCCAATATTATTATTTTTAATAAAAACATAAAATCTTATCTCTCTTTCTTTTAAAAACAAATTTTATGAAATTTGCATATTCTCAACTTCAAAAGATCTATCCTTGATAAAATTTTTGGAAACTCGAGCAGATCTTCTATATGCCCCAACCAATTGTTTTTTTTTTTGTTCGGAACCAAATATGTTCCAATCTCATTCCCGATGACAAGGACAAATAAATGATATAAAGGGGTGTGAGACATGATTATCTTATGTGGGTAAATAAATTTTTTTAAAAATAAACAAGTATTTTCACACACAATCTTTCTACTTCTTTAAATTTATTATATATATATATATATATATATATCAAAATTATGCTTAAAAACCAAGAAATAAAATTTCATTAAAAGGATACTTTTTGTCAATATCATTACAGATATCACACAAAAATAGAAAAAGCTTTCCTGGGTATTAAAATAAATAAAACAAGCCGTCTATGATAAACTTCTCACGAAGTTGATTTCTTGTGAGATTAGAAAATTGCAATAAGTGTTTATTAAAAAAAGAAAAGAAAAGTGAAATAAGTTATCTCCTAGTAGTTTAGAAATAAATTCGAACTCCAGTTCTTGCATATGCAGCAATTTAATTGGGAGGGGTTTATACATTGCTCTTAGTATCCTATGGAAGATATTCTTTGCTATGAGTGAAGCTTATCTTTTAGGCTTATAAAAAAAAAAAATTCTAATGATTTAATATCCGGGCCCATTATACTAGCCTAGAAGGTAGCTCAACAAACTTAATTCAAGCCTAGAACATTTTAGATCTTTTTCCTTCATGGGCCCAAGTTTAGATCATTCCGTGTTCGTTAGTAGTTTGAGATTGATTAAAAAAACGAAGATATAATAGATCCAGTACATATTTTTATGATTAAAATGCATAGAATTCCTCTAAATTTTGAAATAATTATATATGATCCTATTATCTTTTAACATTTAAAATTAACTCCCCTAAATTTTAATTATATTTTTTCAAAACCCCTAATTATTAATTAATTGTTATTTTATTAATATAGTTATTGTCATGTCATGTTAATCAAATACACATGGTACATGACATAGAAAAAAAATATTTTTCATTATTTTTTAACACAATTTAAGAAGGGATAAAATTATAATTTTTATTTTTATTGCACAAGAAGATGCTCTCATTTTTTCAATGGAGCGACATTGTTTTCCTTGTTAAAGGGTAACACAATTTAAGAGAAAATTATAATTTTATTATTTTTTATCAATTAAACTAGCCTTTTATATTAAACAAATAAAAAAAAATATATCTAAAAGCTATCATTGATAGCAGTCATATAAATTATGTTTTCTACTTTGTTTATTTTTTTTATACTCTTCTTTGTTTGTAGCTATTATTTTTTTAAGTAAAATGTTCAGTACTTAGTCAAACAAAAAAAATATTATTAGGATGTTATGAATGAAATATGTGCAGTTTTATAATACGATATATTTTTTTGTTGTTTGTCACATTCCAATACTAAGAGTGTGATCAGCATAAAATATGAGATAAACTCATATCTCATAAACCTTGATTGATTAGGAACTAAGCTAAAATATCAATATATATAAGTTAAATATAGTAAATAAAGTTTGTAAAGTTTTAAATGTTTTATAAAAATTTTGACAAAGCCTTCCCTATAATTTAAACCTCCCAAAATTTTTACAACAATAACAAAACCTACCAACAACCAACAAGAAAACTAGCTCCATTTTAGCAATTTACATAATAACTAAATAAAACTAGGACTTAAATATGTTGTACGTGGAGCACTATTTAGCAATTTACATAATAACTAAATAATACTAAGACTTAACTATGTTGTACGTGGAGCACTAAGTTATGATTACAAAATATAATACATAGTTTTACTAAAATAATAATCGCAATGTGCCTCCTCTTTTCCAAAAAAGCAAAAGGCCTCTCAATGATCTGTTGAAGGTATAGAGTCAGCTATACTATTTAAGATTAAAGAAATTACTAATAAGTAGCATTCCAATTATATACATGTATATAAATATATGAACACATAAACAAATAAATTTAATTTAAAAATTTTGAAATAATAAAACATGAACTTAAACTAATAATAATAGACAACAAGTTTTTTCAATAATACAATCATGAATTTAAAAAATGTTAATAAGACAAAGTAATTCATCAAAATTTATAATGTTCATAGAATATAAAAAATTTCAAGCAACGGCAGGTAGAATGCTTCTAAAGAAATAATATAAAAATAATGAATTTTAAGTTTAGATCTAGGAGGGTTTTATTAGAATGAATAGTAAGCGTGGACACATAATTCACGGGGTAACTAATCAAGTATGGACACACAGTCTACTAAGGTAAATAACTAATCAAGTGTGGCTAAAAGCCACGAAACAAGCATAGCAAGAGCCACAAATCAAGTACAGGCATGAAACCCATGAAAACAAGCGTGAGTACAATGCTCACGAATAATCATCCCTCTATTCTATATGCGTTGGCCTGCACACAGGGCTAGCACCTTTCATAAGCACCTTATTAGTTAGGTGTATCAAGGGCTAATAGAACTGTAGTTAGCATCCAGCGTTCTAAACTCAGTCCCTCTCATTAAAACCAAGTGTGTGTGGAGAAACAAAATAGTTTCAAAATTCTCACTTTCAAATATTATTCAACTATCATTTTTCATTGCCCAAAATTATCATCATTTTCTTCATATATAAATCATTTCAATAAAAATTTTATATCAATGTGGTATTAAATAATTAAACTGCTTATGAGAAATAATACTATTAATATGAAAATAGGATTAACAAGAATATGTAAATAATTTATAAAGAAATAATAATTTAAATAAAGAAATTTTTATAAACACTTTATTAAAAATATATTCGAAACACCACCCACTTACTTGAGAGTTTTTCAAAATTTTAAAGCTCATTCGTTTCAACTTCTCACCTTAATTCCAATGGTGCCATTAACTTCCTAATAAGCAAATCACAACCTAAAATCAATTATTTATTATTTTCTTAACATAACTAAGATGATATTTAACATCCTAATTTCTAACAAATAACAAGTTCTCTTTACCTGAAATAAATTCTCTCTACACTTTTAATTCCAGTAGCCAAGAATTCTCTCAACTCATTATTGAGATATGACTTGATCCCAAATAATATCTCAATTAAACATACATAGCCAACAATTTTCTTATTAAATTAGTAACTTAATTATAATCCAGTAAAACCAAGAGAAACCTTCCCGTTCATTTATGCCTCCTTAAGGTTAATAAAGCACCACAACCTAATATTAAATTTAATATTAACTACTTTAGGTTCCCTAAGGTTCTAATCACTATTTTAACTCTATTACTAGTGGATGTATAATCACATGTATAGATTTTTGAGTAGTATCCATAATCTTCCACATCCTCATATATTAATAATTTCATAGTCTAATCTCCTTTGCAGCTTTCTAGTTAAATTCACAGATTAATAATATCTAAGCTAACTATACTTCCTGCAAGAATAAATGAAATGTCAAAAATATTCAAAAACAAGCTCAATATCTTCTAATAAGTATTTTAACAAACATCTCATAGGCATTAATTTTCAATCTTCATGTCTAAGTTCCCCTACCTCAATTTCATCCTATCCAATTCTTCAACATCAACCAATCCAAACAAAACTAATTTAGCTTGCAAATTCTAACCCATTCAATATAAAT